AATTTTTGCCGTACAACCAATACACCGATCAACTATTGTGTATTGCTTACCAAAAAGGATGTTTTTACCTGGACTGTAATTTGCTGGTCTGGTCTCGTCTGGTCTAGTCAGTTTTGGTCTGGTCTGGTCTGGAATTTTATTTTTTATATTTTTTGCATAAAGATTTTATTATATATATATATATATATTATAATCCATAAATAATTATATTTTATTCATTTATAATTAAAAATAATAATATTCCTTCCAAATTATCGAAAATTGTTATCGTTTTACTTGGTCCGATTTCAATCCCGGACCGAAGCAGACCAGACCAGACCAAAACATAACAGACCATATCGAACCGGAATAATAATAATAATAACAATAATAATAACAATTATAATAATAACAACAACAAAAATAGTAATAATAGTAACAATAATAATACTAATACTAATAATAATAATAATAATAATAATAATAATTAGGGGCGTGCACTATCCGGTTTAAACCGAAAAAACAGAATGATATCCGGTTCAGTATGATCCGGTCCGGTTTTGAACCGGTGCACACCCCTAATAATAATAATAATAATAATAATAATAATAATAATAAAATATGGTCTGGTCTGGTCTTTTTTAGTCTGGTCTGGTCTGGTCTGGTCTGGTCTGGTCTGGTATGAGACGAATTACATTCCAAGTAAAAACAGCCTTAAAGGGCTTAAATGAAACTCTACAATTAGTAGCTATTCAAATCATTAAATTAATTTTATTATATGCAACCGAGTTTAGTTCTTTATCTGAATAATTGTACACGTCTATTGATTGTCGCTATGTTTGGAATAACAAATTGGATGTGAAATACGTTGCCTGATTTAAAGAACGTTGTATGGAGGTGAGTAAAAGTTGCTAATTAATTTAAATCTGAACAAAATGAAGCAGTCTGACTACATAATTTAAATAAAATTTACTGTAAAAACGATGTTTTAATAGAAATAAGATAAAATACGAATAAGCTTATTGAAATGTTACCGCTAAGGATGTTTTTACTTGGACTGTAATTTGCTGGTGTGGTCTAGTCTGGTCTAGTATGTTTTAGCCTGGTCTGGTCTGGTCTGTTTTGGCCTGGCCTGGTGTGGGACGAATTACAGTCCAAGTAAAAACTCCCTTCGGCTGTACCCATGACCACTACTTCTCTTTCTCAAAGTAGAATATCGAACTCCAAAACTAATCCTATAAGCATAATTATTGTACAATTCAAATGCCCCTTTTTCTGAAAAACAGTTTTTCCCATTAGCTTAGAAAATTCAGTTTCCTTAAGTGATATAACTTCAACACAAAAAGGCTCATGAGATTGCTCTAGGTGCTTAAAACTAGAAGAATTTCTAACTGCACAAAAACAAAGAGAAAAATAAACTGCATATCTAAATTTTCATGGGCTAAAGGGTTAAATAGGTCCCTGTACTCATATCAATAGCTCAATTGGGTACCCGAACTAAAAAAAGGTCCAATCCAATCCTCCAACTCTTCAAAATCGTTCATTTTTTTCGTTTTTTCAAAGACTAAAGGGTCAAATAGGTCCCTGTACTCATATCAATAGCTCAATTGAGTACCGGGAGTTTACCGGCTAAACGAAAAAATTGAACGATTTTGAAGAGTTGGAGGATTGGATTGGACCTTTTTTTAGTTCGGGTACCCAATTGAGCTATTGATATGAGTACATGGACCTATTTGACCCTTTAGCCATTTTCATGCCAAAAAACATAAACAAGTGAGACAATGTAAACAATGCTTGGCCCAATGTCAACAACTTCTTGTACAGAAAACATCTTTGCTTAAGTTAAAACCACAATCCAAGTAATCTTAATTCATGCAAAAAAGCACAAATACATAACAATGCAAATAAATGTATAAACCACATACACCAAACAACAAGAAACTATATCATTAGCAATTAAATAAAACATTACTGGATCAACTTCAAAAATTTCACCTTTGACCTCAATATCTTCAATTAATTTGCCACTGCAACAAATATCCTCTAGACACGCGAAAACAACAAGACACAAGAAAAAGCAAGATGGTCATAACTATTTAACACAATACTCAACAAAAATCATAAAAAATATATCGGTCGTTCATCGAAAAAAGTGCCTGCAGAACTAGACTCAACTTTAATTCTTGGATAAAATAAATTTGAGAGATTTACTTAAATAGGACTAAAACATGGTTAAAACTCCAAAGTGGGACATTAAGTTTTTTATTACCTAAATAGGACTTTTAATTACCGATCGGACAAAATTGCCCTTCTTAGTTCCTGCTGCAACAATTCACTGGGTGCGATGAAGGTCGTTTGCGAGTTGCGATGCACAGATGAACGGCTCCCCAGGTAAGTTTCTTCCGATCTTTTTCTTGTACTCATCTCTTAATTTCTTCTCAAGCTCCCTTGTTTTCTTCTTCTACAGGTCTTCTATTTTCTTCTTCTTTTGGATTTCCAAGTTTTTATAATCCTGAGTAATTTATTTTTAAAAGATTCATATTATTATTCTAATCACTTCAATCTGAAAAATGACATAGTTGATCTTTAATTGAACACTGATTTGTAATAATGTCACTTTCATGGCATTACATTTGCTAAGGTGACAATTTCAAAGAAGAAAATGACATTTCCAGAGTAATAATGTCACTTTCATGACATTTTCAAAACAAAAGTGACATTTTCAGATTGTCATTCTAGTAAATAAACTGTCACAAACGTGACATTTTTTTCAAATAACCAATAATTTTGACATTCTCGGATTATAAAAGTGACATTTTACTGAATAAATAAATTCAAATTCAAAAAGTCCAAATTAATAAATAAAATTCAAATCCAAATAATTTAAAGAAGAGAACAGAGGACCAAAAATTTGAAGAGGATTAGAAGAAAGGAGAATCGGATTTTTCACAAGAAAAATAGAGGACAAAGAGGAAGGAGAAGGAGGAGATGAAGAAGAAAGGGAAGACGATACCTGGGATTGACGCAAATCGATATCGACGGTGGAAGAGGCATCGTCATAGAGAGGCAACAGCGTAGAGAGGAAGCGTAGAGAAGTGGTGGCGGCGATGGAGTACATGTTGTGGCGGGGAGAGATGTTTGCGAGAGAGAGGGAAGGCGCAGTGAGAGCTATTTGGGGAAAAAATCTGATTTAGGGATTAGGGGCAAAAAGGTAATGTGGAGTCCCATTTAAGAAATTTAAAACATGAAGTCCTATTTTTGAGTTTTAAACATGTTTTAGTTCCATTTAATATAATTTCTTAATAAATTTCCGCAACATTAAAAAATTTGAATTGAATGAACGAAATCTGAATTGGTTAAAAGCTTATTAATAACAATGAAGACGAGTACAACGAAAGAAGAAACTAACCTTTAAATGCAAATTGGAGAAGGGAAATTACTTAGTGGAACAGATCACTCGATGTAAGCTAGACATTGAGAAAAATGACCAAAGCTGTGAAAGAAGCACCGTGAGTAAGATCATATCCGAGGAGAAAGGCGAAGGCTGTGGAAGAAGCATCGGAAGTAAGATCGAAGCTCAAAATTCGAGAAAACGAAGTAAGTTGTGAGAGATGGACGAAAGCCGGGAGAAGGATGAAAGCTGCTGAGAGGACGAACAAAAGCGTAATAACCAGGCTCGAAATTGAAGTTAATTACAAGAATACCAGATTGTACCATGCCCTAGGTACAAGCTGTTGTAGCATACTCCGTATAATTTACCCACGAATATACTCTTAAAATCGTAGCGTACCCAGCTCCAGTTCACAGTAGGGATGGGAAAAACCGAACCGAAACATGGAAATCGGTCCTGACCCGGCCCGGATTATGATATCGGTCCATATTTTTTTTGACCGGTCCGAATAAAAAAACCCGGACCAAACTCGAAAGTTGGGACTCATTAACGGGCCCTAAAATCTATAACTCAGCCCGAACCGATAAAAACCTGAAACAATTACTTAATATAAAGTCAATATAATATACCAATATAACTTATAAGTTAATTCCTAATATATGATTATAATCATGATGAACGAAAAAATGACTTAATAACTATCGTTGACTACAAATATGTTCAATTTATTTACCGTAATGACCATGAAAACATATTTATAGTAACTTTAGTCACATTTTTATCCATAAATTTTATTTCATAACATTTTTAAAACACCTATATTATTTATTTTTATGCATCTTAAACAAAATATTATGATAATTGTCTTCTTGGATTTGAATTCTTGGTGATTTTGGAGACTAATATTTATGTTTTTTATTAATTTTATTTGCGGTTTATACTTTTTATTAATTTTTTTGAAAATAGATTTTAAAATTTAAAAGAAATATGAGTGATTTCAGATTCGGGCTTTAACCGTCCCAACCCGAACCCAGAGCGAACTCAGATTACAAAAAATCCGACTCGAACCGAATATAATGTGCTGTGTTTTGATCCCTAATTTTAACCCGATACCTGTAATTTTGGGATTTAGCAAAACCCCACCCGGACCGGACCTATGCCACTCGTGTTCACAGTTGCCCCCTCCTTGCAAGGTACACGGGTACACCCCTAGCCGCTCAGTGTCTCCATTTTTCGATCGGACCTTCTCTCTCCGGTTTTCCATCACCACATGGCTTCGCAGAAGAAGGAATCTGAGGGCATTGCATTGCTTTCAATATATGGCGACGAGGACGACGAGATGGATGATTATCAAAAGGAAGAATTTGACAAGGATGAGAATCCGATTCAGAGCGACGTCGTTTTCACACCGGAAAACGACCTTTGCGGTGACGACAATAGCAGATGTGTGGCCTTGGGTTCAGTTAGGAGTTCAACCCCATCCCCTTCAGTACAACAGCCTCGGGAGTTGGGAACTGACAATCTCACACCTAATAAGGTTTCAAATTTTGGGGGTTCTGCGATAACTACACCCCAACTCACGGTTTCATCGCCGCCTCTATCTCAGCCGCAGTGGAAGCAATTGACTGTTGTTTCTGAGAAGGTAGTGAGTAGAAGTAGGCTTACTATAGTGGATTACGCTCACGATGAGGCCGCTATGTCTCCCGAAGCTGAGGTGAGTACTATCTAATGCTACTGAATCAGGTTTTGAGCTCTGCAGTACTTTTCAATGCCATTTCAGCATTGCTTCTTCAATTCCTATACACTGCATATGATGTGGGGACTATTGAGTGAACCATAGAGAAACCTTTTGAAAAAGTTTAAATTTTAGACCCTTTTTGGGCTACTAATGAATTCATAGGATTCACAATTTCTAAGTTGAAGTGAAGATAGGCTTTTTATTCAATCGTAAACTAACCTTAGTCTGATTGCACCGACCTAAGTTTTAAGGTACCCACAAGCTGGTAGCTTTTGTTGTCATTTTTGTTTGTGTCTTGATTGTAGGAAGGAGAAATCATGATCAGTGGTCGAGCACATGATGTTGAGAAACTACAAACGGTTCTGTGTACTATTCCGTGCCATCAAAGAACATCAATATTGCTTTTTAGCTTTTCTTTAAATGGTTGAATAATGTAAAGGCATAAAGCCGCTGATGTAGTTTTCCTTGTTTTTAATAGCTGAATCACAAGTTGAAAATCCACTGGGCTCTCTTCAGGGCCACACACCCACTATTCAAACAGTACCTCATCAATCATTAGAGGCAAGTGCTGATGACGCAAATGCTTTGAGTTCTGGAGATGTTAATATGGTTCCTGCACGAGAAAAAGAGGAAGACCTACTGGAAAATTTTCTTCCACCCCCGCCAAAAGCAAAGTGCTCAGATGAATTACAAGTAAGTGAAGCATGAGTTGGATGATACTAGATAAGTCTGAAGATAAAAATGGATACTAATGTTCAGATTATTGCTGATTCATGCAACTACATGTTTGTAGCTTAAGTTTGTAGATTATTTAATGACGTGTATAAAACTGTCTTGTCCTTTTATGTGACAAAGCCTTGTCACTATTTTAAAATATTTTGGAGTTGAAATGTTGCATATTTCCGATCATTGTATTGGATTTGGGGGGCTGGGTGAAGCATGTGGGTGGGTCTGGGCTGCACTATCACAAACAAGGTGGGATGGCAAAGTTTGTGTGCATTTGTTTAAACTTAGAATGGGTAGGGGAGGTACTCTGAGCTGGAAAGCGATAACTCTAGACTCTAGCTTAAAATTCATTGACACTACCCCGAATCGTATCCTATACTGTATTTGTAGTCTTATATGTTTACAATACTAATAAAATATCCATTTTTTGTAATTTCACAACGCAATTGCGCCATGAGGCGATAAAGGCTTTGCTTATTTCACGCAATGAGTACGCTTTTACAATATAGATCTGAGGCGTACACAATATGTCATAGGTGATGAGGCACATAGAGAGGCATATACGATTTTGGAGCAGGGTTTAACTGTTTAAATATGTGGGCCCACTTAGCAAAAAAGAAGCACTCTTTTTGTTATTATAATGTCCTGCGTGCCTCCCTTCTCCATCTGTGTATCGTATAAACTATAAAGTCGCGACTTACATACTTAACCCCCCCTCTTCACCTCTGGAACCTTTTTTTTCATCTGCACTTCATCCTATAACACTCTTGTCCTGCATTTGATCTCTATTTCACACCACTGGATAGTGACAATTCTATTTTTCATTCATCAATCTAATAAACTTGAAATTGTAATATGTTAGGAGTTTTGTTTTGAATAACAGTTCAGAAATAGTTGGTATTATGTAGTTTAAACGCATTACTTTTTTAGGATTATGAACTCGTTATTATTAGTTTTAATATGCCATTTGTGTCATTTGTTGACTTTTAATGTTCTTTTTTGTTGTGTGTGTCATAGTTGTCAGGGTGGTAAGGCGAGTCGCAGCCAGCCAACTGCCTTATCGCCTAGGCAATTAGGCGGCCGTCTAGGAGACAATTAGGCGACTAGTCGTGCTATATGTAATATTACACACACATATATTCATATGAAGTATGGGTTATTAAGTTACTAATTGATCACAATAATTAGGCCTGCATTACTGTATGACGTAGAGTGTTGGACGGTGAAACAATGTCACATTCAAATGATGAATGTGATTGAGATGAGCATGTTGTGTTGGATGTTTGGACATACTAAAAAGATCATTTGATTAATGAGACAATTAGACGAAAGGCGGGAGTAATACATATTGAAGATAAGATGCAAGAGTCTCAATTGCGGTGGTTTGATCATGTGCTTATAGGATCGAGTGATTCACATGTTAGAGTAATTGAAAGATGGGGAAAAGGGGTGGGAGGAGCAGAAGAGGAAGACCCAAACAGACATGGATTAGAGAAGTCCGGGGAAGTTGAGACAACATATTCGGGTGGAAAATAACAACATCAATCTTTTGAGATTAAGGCTTGGATGTTGTTATATTTTTATTGTTTTTATCTTTCATATGTTCTTTATCTTTTTTTTTTCTTTTTATCTTTATCTTATCTTTATATTAATTTTATCCTTTTTATCATTTTAGCTTACCTTATATTTTTTATCTATTCTTTTATCTTTTTTTAATCATTTTTAGCTCCAATTTCATATGTTGATTTAGGTTAGACGACCTCAAACTCTTTTGAGACTAAGGTTTGGATGTTGCTTTTGTATCTTTTCTTGCCACACTACGTGGCTAAAGGTTGTTGACATCTGGTTTCTGTTATATCATCACACATTCACACCCATAGTCCAACACCTTGCCACTCTCTTTTCCCTCTTTCCTTTTGGTTGGAGGGTTATTAACTTGAAGATTCTTTTCAATATTAGTTGGACCACTCGATATTTTAAGACGAATGCAATCTTTGAAAAGGCTAGTTCAGGTATCAAGGCGGTTTGTTCCGGAGATGTGAGGCGTAAGCCTCAAGGCGTATTGAGGTGTAAGCCTAAAAAGTACAAACCGAGTAAACTTAAAATAGTTAAACCAATACCCCGTAATAAGCAACTAAAGAAATTTATAATTTAAGGGCAAAAAGTCTCAAACACAAATACATGTATGAACACAAGCCATTCATCATCAGCGGACAAATTATCAACCAAAATATTTTCCTCATGATTAGTTAGGGATCTTAAGTTAAGGTGTCGATGTTTTAGTCTCTCCTAAAACCTTGACAAGTTTTAGGAAAACATGAGCAACAATTCAGTACAAGGAGAGGAAGTGTAGGTGAGTAGATGAAGAAGGAGAAGAGATGTTGAAGAAGAGGAGTAGAAGATATGTGGAAGAAGAGGAGTAGATGAGAAGTGAAATTACCTTGAAAAATGAAGTGTGTGTAAGAAGTTGTCAACTTCTTTGTGCCGGGAATGAAAACTTCTTTGCGCAGAAAAAGTATGTAAACATTTCGACATTTAGTGAATACTCTAAATGTAACAAGACGTCAAGACTGGTTAGGGGTTTAGCGTGGACTATGGACACATGTTTAATGTATGGGTCTACAACAACAACATCTAAGCCTTAATCCATTAGAATTTGGGGTCGGCTAACATGAATCAATCTATGATATCGATGCCAAACAGAGAAGACAGACAATAAGGGGAAAAAGTAAGATAAACGGGTAAAATAAAGATAAATAAATATGAGATAACAATAACATAAGAATATAAGAAAGATAAAAGATAAAAAGATAAAAGAGCATAAAAAAGCTAGAAGATAAAAATAACATGAGAATATAATAAGATAAAGAAGATAAACGATAAAAGAAAAGAGAGAGGAAAGGTAGAAAAGACATCAATCGTCCACACAGATGTGTGCCCTTCACTTTGCTCTCTCCAAAACCATACTCTCATCCAACCCAAAAAGATGCATATGAGTTCTGATTTCTCTAATCCAAGTATGTTTGGGTCTTCCTCTTCCTCTCCCTCTCTTCTCTGCCTCTTCTCCCCACCCCTCAAGTCGTCTAACAGGTGCATCACTCGGTCTTCTACGCACATGCCCAAACCACCGTAAACGAGACACGTGCATCTTATCTTCTATAAGTGCTACTCCCACCTTTTGTCTGATTATCTCATTCCTCAAACGGTCTTTTCTGGTATGTCCACACATTCAACACAACATACACATCTCTGTCACACTCATCTTTTGAATGTGGCATTGCTTCACCGCCCAACACTCTACGCCATACACTAATGCATGCCTAATTGCTTTTCAATAAAATTTACCTTTCAGTCTAGTTGGCATACCTCGATCGCATAGAAATCCCGATGCATCTTCCATTTCATCCACCCAGCTCTGATTGTATGGCATACATCTCCATCTGATTCATCATCCTTCTGAATTATGGAATCCAAGTAACAAAACATATCACACACCGGTATCTCATTACCATCAAGAGTAATCCCAATGTTGCTACTACTTCTACCTCCACCTAACGTGCACTCTATATACTTAGTCTTGCTTTGGCTTAGTCCGAAACCCTTGGTCTCCAATGTTAGTTGCCGTACTTCCAACTTTGTTTAATGTATGGCTCTCCTCTAAATAAAATATATTAGGCCTTTCTTAAGTTACAATCCATTAAAAGATAGAAACAAAGGAAATTACGCCTCAGAAAACGCTTAATGACGCACCACAAGGCATACGCCCCAACTTTTGAGGCGCAAGCCTCTTGACCTGCAAAAAAATCTAAGCCTTGATGTCTTCTTTGTATGCCTCACCTTGAGGTGCGCCTCAAAACTCGCCCCATAAGTGCCTTTTTAAATCACGAGCAAATGCTAATCACAACCCTTAGGGCCACATTTAACATTGATGAGGGAAAAAGTTTAATGTGGCTCAAGTAAAAATCTACGGAGTATTTAGACATTTAGTAATTATTAATGGCCTCATTTGATAGAGTTATTTTTTGTTAGTAATAATCTAATATATGAGTTAATTAGGGCTTGTTTACTAACAAATATATTTTTCAGTTTTCTTTTCTGTATAGCGTTCTCCAATTTTCTGTTTTCATTTTCTAGTTTTTCATCTTCAAATTTGAAAGCATGTTCATCAAATTTTTTCACCTTGTTCTGTGCCGATCGAATGTACGGTCCCGGTCCGGAACCAAACCTAGTATAACCCAAGTAGGGTACTCGGTCCCGGGTATAGGAAAGTCAGGACTGAAATGGGCTGGTCCCGGTTAGTCCCACGGCTAGTTTGACTAATTATTTTCCCTTTTTCCTATTGGTTAGCAACTCAACTACTTTTTGAAACTCTATACTTTAAAAAATCTAGGAATTCCCGAGTCTTTGACCGGATTGGACCGCCGGGTCGTTGACCTGATCGGATAGGGACTGCCGGGTCCTTGACCGGACCAGATCAGAACTGACACCGGAATGGGACCAGATTCATCACTAGGCGCAAGTATTCAAAGTCATTGCAGCGGCACTACAGCATCCGCGTATTTCAAATTTAGAAAACTAGTAAAACCAACTTCTCCAATTCATAAAGGAAAACATAGACATATCTCATTTTTTGGTTTTGGAAAATGATTTGGTGAATACATTTTTGTGTTTTCCTTTCTCCAGTTTTTCAACATTTTTTTAGTAAACACGTTTTCTGTTAGTAAACAAACCCTTAGTTTTTTGGAAAATTGGAAAATATCTCTGTTAGTAAACAAACCCTTAGTTTTTTCAAATAATATAGTGCCAAGATCCCATTTTATGAATGGTCCCTCCCTTTTAATTGATGTTTTAAATCGTGTATTGCGTAGTTTTAGAGTTTCTTTTAAAGCGTATTGTGTAAGCCTCATTGCGCGGTGAGGCGTAAATCTTAATTTGTAGGGCATTTAGATCTGCTAACCCCTCTTGTCGTCTAATTATTGCAAAAGTTGCATCATATTTATGTATGCAATTAAATTTCAAGTGAAGAACACAACTTACATAAAAAGTAAAACATCAATACGAATAAAATAAAATTTTGAACATAACTAATGACAAACATTGCACATGTATATGAACAATTACAAACAGAGTAAACATACTTAAGGAGTTATACAAAAAAGGGACAGGCGCGGAGCTTAAGGAGTAATACAAAAAAGTCACAGATCACCGTTGTTGACGATGAGTCACACAAAAAGGCCATTGTCGATGCTATGATAAAAACACACCGACAGAGAGGCGAGAGGCGCAGAGCTTACAATTGGACAGGCATAATTTTTTTTTAACGAAGTAAAGCTTACCTTGGACTCTTAGAGACGACTGACAGAGACGGATAGACGAGAGAGATATGAGTCGAGAGGGATGATAGGTAACAAAGCACTCCAGCTGAAATATAGGTATATTGAAAGTAAATATGATCAGAATTCTAGGAATTACAGGAGGAAATGAAGAAACAGCTCTGAAAAACACCATAAGAATAGTAGAGACAATTTTGAGTGTCTATCTCTGGCTTTATTCTTTCCTCATGTTGGACATGCCACCTCAGCTATTCAGTTATTTGATTCCCACCACTCTCAGCTGTCTCTTTTATCACTTTGCCTCTTCTTTTGTAGACTGTGGAGAAATTCCTATTTTAATTAATATTAGGGATGTCCGGACTGTCTGAGACTCTATCAAGGGATTGCCATATGCATGAGAAGAAGAGATAAGTATCCATCAATTATTGAAATAGTTATTGGGTTTCAAATAAAGCCGAGCCCGATTAGTTAATTTAAACGGTAGACTCATTGCATACGCCTTTGCCGTGATGTATATCGTACGCCTTATATCACCGCCTCACGCATAAAAGGCGTAAGCCTTCCTATGGTGTAAAAGTAGATATGCCTTAAATTACATAAAGCCTGAAAATCGCTGAGGCGCGCCTCAAGGCTTGATTCTAATGCGCAATTTCGAACTATGCTTTTAACTGGCTCATTCATTATTCACATTATTAACGTTTCTTAAATTTAACCAGTTATTTTAACACTTTTTTTAAAGATAGTCTAATTGTAAGACATGATATCTTGATGACATTAAGTTGGTCGTCATTTTACATGTTAACCTCTAAGTTCTCAAAAAAAAGTCTATGAAATACTTTTCAACAGAATCATGATTGATACATGCTTGTCAAAGCTGCTAACACAATATGCCAATAGGTATTCTCCACCCACTGATTGCTAAACAACACATGTGATTTAGGAGTTCTTTAGGTTACAATGGTTTTCAAGACTTGTTGTATTGTTGTGTGTTCATGTGAGTAGGGTTCATGGTGCTAGCTGCTTGTTCATAGTTTGGTACATCCTTTATTAATCTTAAGGTGATTGTGGTCGAGTGTAGTTCAGTGTAATGTCTTGAACTGTCTCTTAAATGCTGGTAATTATTTGTTAGTGTCATGATCTATGAAGCATTGAAGCCTATAATGAGAATGAGAGTGGCAGTAGCTGGTAGGTTAGCGTGGATGTGCATTTGGACCCTATCTTTGATATTCTCCTGACTTTCATCATCATCATCATCATCATCATCATTATATATGAATTATGCCACTATTTAGTCAATTTAATGTGTTATTTATTCCATTTAGGTATGACTTTACTTTTCATTTGAAATTCTTGCAACTAAGCCAGATATTCTCTTTATTCCTTTTTTCAACAGCAAAAGATCAATAGGTTTCTAGAAATAAAGAAAACTACTGGAAGAAGCTTTAACGCAGAAGTGCGGAATAGAAAGGACTATAGAAATCCTGATTTCTTGCGGCATGCAGTGCAATATCAAGGCATTGATGAGATAGGAACCTGCTTCAGTAAAGATGTATTCGACCCACATGGATACGACAATTGTGACTTTTATGATGAAATTGGTTAGTGAACTCTTGTTTTCACGTGTTTCATCCTTCAACTGAATGTCCTGATGGGTGACCTTTTTGAGAGTAAATAAAGAATGTTATCCTTTATAATTCTTTATTAAACGGATAGACAGTTTTTATTATTTATTGCATTCTATCAATAGCTGAAGCAAGTTTGAGTGAAAAAAAAAGTGAGAGTAACAATAAAAATTAAGAATACAATAAGTTCAAGAGTATAGCTTTTTTAACTATAAGAAATTGAGTAGACAGCTGATGGGACTAGTGTTAAGTCTAGGATTTTCTGGCTTGAACGGCGACGCAACTCGGCGGCACTGGTTTTCAAGGTGTTCGGTGTCACGGAATCGTGGTCAGCTAGGCTTGGAGCAGAACGCAAGGCCTTAGCCACTTAGGTAGTAGCAGTTTGGTATTTGGCGGCGTGTTTGCGTCCGAGGATCCAAAGTAGGAGAACGAGATGCACATGAAGCAGGACGCGTTTGATGATCTAGACCAGGCCTCGATCGTTTGGGCCTGGAAGAAGATGATGCTGGGTTGTTGGTCCGTCCCCCTCCTGAACTGCCGTCATGGAGTGAATGAGTGGCTAGGGTTTGGAAGATGACGATTCGAGTTTGGAAGATGAGGTGCTGTTTTTATCAGATCAAAATGATGAGTGTGATGATGATGAGATCATAATGGTTGAACTACAAACTCACATATTTTACAAAATGTTGACCCGCAAGCAAACAACAGTTGGACCCGGTTTACCTAGGATAGCATGTGAAATACTAACAACACATCCGTAGCACTAGCCACATCATTTCCACACTACTGCCACATCATCACCAAACACGTGTTTGTCTTGTCATCATCATCTTCCCATCTTTCTTTTGCTTTTTTTTTTCTCTTTTACTCTTCTTTGGTCTTCATGTTTGTCTCTCTGTGGTCTTCCATTTTCTTTATCTTTTTTGTCTTTCACTCCCTTGGATGTTTCAACTTTTCCACCTGAGGAATCTGCCAACAAACAGATATGCAGAGAGAAAGACAAAGGAGAACATTTTCTTGAACCCTTCATTCCCAGACATGAAAATAGTGGTGATTATGGGATCTGAAAATATCTCTTTTGGCCTACATGGAGCTATTAGTTGTTTGGGATTGTGAACAGAGAAAAAGTTCTCTTGGTGACTACCCTTGAGTATAGCAACATGTTTCTTGGCAGCAGCGACCACCATGAGAGCGTGAGGGGATTTGTGATTTGAAACGGCATAGATGGTGTGTTATTGCACTCCATGGTTGTCTTCGAAAGATACACTGTTGAAAGAAGAGTGGAATAGAGATTAGAGAAGTGGAATTGGGAGCACGGAAAATAAGATAGTTGGTGATGGAGGAGAAGGCAACATATCCTGCCATGGTTGCCCTAAAGGAGGCTGCTCTTGAACCAAATTTTTATTTCCCCTCACATTTTCTTTCCTTTCAAATTCCTTGTATAATATCTCTATTTTCTTTCCCTATGTTCTGAGTTCCAAATACACCCCAAAGGAGACTAATTCCCTGTTAATTTTTTTAACAGAGGCTGATATCAGGCGCGGAATGGAGAGGAAGGAACAAGAAAGGAGGAATAGTCCAAAAGTTGACTTCATCTCTGGAGGAACACAGCCTGGGACTATGGGGAAACCCAATCTGCCACTCCCAGGTTTTTTGGCACTTGTTTTATTAATTTATTCTAGATGTTAGATGGCTGGGAAGAATGTGAAGATGAAATTTATATAATAGTACACTTTTTAACTAATTATAGAGTTTTTTTCTTCAAACATGAGACTAAATATTAGAAAAACAATAGTAAAAAAATTAATCCTTCAGTGCCTCTCCATAATCCCATAACTAAACAATTAAACAAATAACCTGTCTTTGATCATTTTACTGCTACTGTTGCAGGTACTGGATTTAATGCAGCACCAACATCCGTTGATTTTATATCCCGGGACAGCCGACACAACAAAAAGTCAAAATGGGATAAGGTTTTCATATGTTCACCACTCTAGATTGTGTTAAAGTTTAATGTAGCAAAAGGTTATCTGAACTCTCTACTCCTGCCCGCGTGTTTACAGGTTGATGTCGATCGTAGAGATACAGTATCAGCTGTCGGCACACATGCAGCTTTGCTATCTGCTGGTAGTGGATATGCTGCCTTTGCGTAAGTTTCACATTGCATATAGATAATATTCCATCTTTTCTCGACTATGGCATTACTCATGTTACTATTGCAGTTAGGCCATCTGAATACATGCATACATATGTGTGTGTACTGAGGTGTGCATGCATGCCCCTGTCTCATTTTAATAGGCCATCATTTGAATTTTCTTCTCAAAGTTTTTCAATTGTTACCAAATAATACTCCGTATATGTTTATGCAGAATGGTTTGTCTTGAGAAAGTAATGTAATAATGTTTCTTTGTTAAGACTTCACTTGTAAAAGTACACCATATATAAAATTCACTGAAATTTATCATTCAAAATATTGCGAAGTTCCAACATATTTGAGGTCAGAAGTCAAATGTGGCCTCAAGATCGTCAAAGTTGTGCGCCTGAGCGCTTAAGCGCACCAGGCACAGCGCCAGAGGCCTCCAGCGCCCTACACAAGCCCAGTCGCACCATCCCCTCTCAAGCGCAGAAGCGCAGTAGTCGTTTTAAGCGCTCGCCCATTGCGCCTGCCAGGGGAAGCGTTTATTTTAAGTTTACTGAGGCTGTTTCACATGTGCGTTCAAATAAGACCATTAAGAAGCCCATATTTTTAATAAAGCCCATGCAAATAAGGTCAAAAAGACGTAACCTACGCTAAACACACAACGTAAACCTCCTCCTGCTATGCGCTCTATGGCTCTCTACTGTTACCTGTTCGCTACCTGCTCCTGTCCCTCCACATCAACCGCAAAGCTTGCAGCAGTGTAGCACTCAACGTTGAAAGTAAACTTTCTTCTTCTTCATCTTCCATTCATTCCATTTTATTTCTTTTTTCATTATTCAGTATATTTTTTCACCATGTAAACTACCAGTATATTTTTTCACCATGTATATGTAAACTACCAGCTACTTCTTGGTGAAGTACATACTACCACTCTACCAGTATACATACTATATAGAACATACTACAAAACTACCCTTTTTTGACCATGTTTACATACTACCAGTCCATACTACCAAACTACCATTTTTTTATTCATGTATACATACTACCAGTCCATTTTTTGTGTCATAGGTTGCTTTATATATACTTTATTTTGGTTAATCATGACTTTATTATGGTGAAATATGATTTTGTTTGATCAAACCATGACTTTTTAATGTAGTTGGTTCAATATGGTGTTATATACATCAGCTTAATCATTGGAGAATAGTATGTGTGATATTTTCTAAGCAATGCGCCTGACTCAAGTCAGGCGAGCGCTTTTTTGCGCCTTGCGCCTCAGGCGCTGGAATTACCCCATCGCCTTGAGTGCGCCTCACGACTTTTACTACCTTGTGTGGCCATCGCCTAAAGCGGGACAGAGTGGGTACAATGATGAATTACCCCAGTCCCATCGCCTAAAGCGGGACAGAGTGGGTACAATGATTATTGATTAATAAATCGTAGGAAAGGCAGAAGTGTCATGGGCTCATGGAGCCTTCTTCCTCGAGGACTCTAGCTGTATAGATTATTTAGAACTACTACTAGCATTGGACTGGCCGCTTGTATATACTTGTCCATACATCTACCCAGTGGTACAACTTCTACACCAATCATACTTCTTGCTATCATTCTTCAAGTTCGTTAGATATCCTAGGAATTTAGGAATGACTTGCTGCTGAAAATTATCTTGATAGGAGATTGTTCCCCACAGACATTGTAAATATATTGCCTACAGTGTGGATATCAAGTGGATGGATAGATCAGACAATCTTTTTGTCGGATTATACTGGATGGATTGAAAATTATTGATTTATCCATAAAAATCATTAAAGAGATCTTATTCATCCATCATCCGTTTTAATATAAAAAATACATCCATTCATCAACACTTTCTTCACTTTTCATGTGTGAGATGCTTGAACCTCATATAATTAAGCATATTATGTGTGCGCGCAATATGGTATCTATAGGCAAAATTTGATCTAGAGGGTTCTTAGAAGTGATTCGAAGAGTTCAAAAAATGTAATGGAATGGATAGTAACTATCCACATGTTATACTAGTAGATGGATTTTTAAATTCCACTGTGGATGCTTTTGAAACTGAGTGCCGCAAACTTGCTAGATCATCTCCACCTCGTGATTGTTCCAAACAATCATTTAATATTTTTGGTTTGTTTTAGGCAACAAAAACGGAAAGAAGTAGAAGAGAAGCGATCCTGTGACAAGAAGTTGGAAAGAAGATCTTGATCACATCTGTGCTGCTGCGAGAAATAGATGCAGAACACCACCACCATGTCAGACGTATGTAAATGCTAATATGACCTCATCAAAAGATCTAATACCATAATTATTGTGATTTATCAGCATGGATTGGAAATATGGAATATAGTATGAATGTGGAAATGTTTTGATGTCAAACACACATATGATCTTCATCCTGAACTCATCTACTTAGGCTTCATCTGTTTTTTTTGTTACTTTAGCCTTTCTCAGGACATGTAATGAGTTCGTATTACAAACTGGGATCCCTGTTTTTGGATTGAATCTGAAAAGATGATTCTTTTACTCCCAACAGATATGATACGAGAAGTTGGGGTATTGATTGAATTACTTGGTGATTGAACCTGATGGATTGATGCAAGTATCTACTGAAATGTACACATGCATTCCTTGCATCTTGGATGCCGATAGATGCTGCTGCTTTGAGCAAGGCCAACCAGTGTTTGGCCTTCATCAATCATCCTTCGTATTTGTTCCGTAAAAGTGCTCCAATCTATGGTCTTGTTATCCAACAAAATGGCAGCTAGTCTCTTCTTGCTTGGCCTCAACGTCGGAGCGTGCCCGCTTCCGTAGTATGTTCTGAACCCAGAAACGAGAGATGAAAACTGGCTTCCTGAATCTGTTATGGCGAATACGTCGGCAGTTGCACATGCGATGAAATCCAATGCTGCAAGCTGCAAACCAGGTTGCACATAAAGTCAAAAGAATGACTTGACCACTCTTGTTATGGTGGTTTAACCCAGCCAACTATGTGAAGGTCATAATACCTGAGAAGAATGGTTTTGAAAAGGAGCAAGTTCGCTAGGTGATAAAAGATTCTCTTTTGTGACTAGATTGGGGTACAGGCTGGTTAAAGGCTTCATTCTAGATTCGCCTCCGTAAATATTTGAACCAGCAAGATATATGTAAGTTTCACCCTTGAAACCAAGGCTAGCAAGAACAAGCGCCGCTTCTTCTGGTGTCAGTGGACATCTTCCCCTACTTCTTAGCTCCTTGGGGGAAATGGCCCTGCAGCCCGATACACACTACTCAAATGTCTATACCTCAAAAGACATGATTTTGTAGAGTTAGACAGGGGTATTTTTATATTAGAATAAAACATGCCTTAATTTCTTTAGTCTTTGAAGAAGCAGAGGAAAATGGGCTTCTCTATAAGATTTGAGCTCCCTGGTTTCACTTTCACCACCGCCAAATTCACACATTGAGTAAGCCAACATGTCGATTTCGAACCTCAAATGCAAAGCCAAGTACTTGGTATTTGTAAGCTCATTCCCGGGGTGCTCATTAACTATAACTTCTCCCAATAGTTGCTTGTCTAGAATGCCCTTACTGCCACTGTGTTTTCTTATTCGCGTCACCAGCAGAGATGCAGCTTCTTGAATTTTATGTACAAACTTTAGGGCATGGAAGTTACATTTGCACCTCAGTCTCTGCCATTGGTTCATTCACTTCAGTAATAATAAAACATTTCACATGTTCTTGGTCGGTATGTTTTTGTTTGTCAAGATCCAGCATAATAAAAACTATTTTAGGCAATATAATCTCTGTGCTGAATGCCGATCCCGTTTTTACCGAAATGTGTCATTTTTTTGGAGTAAAAGTAGGTATGGACTCGGGCCGGGTGGCCCGACCCGGAACCGGCCCGGGACCGGTACTGTTCCGGCCCGGCCCGACCCGGTGGCCCGGTCAGTGACCGGTCCGGGTAGGCCCGGCCCGTGGGTTTTCCGGTCCGGGCTCGGGTCACCCAAAACAAGGCCCGACCCGGCTGGGCCCGGGCCCGGTTCGGGCCAAAAACATTTTTTTTTTGCAATTTTTTTTAAAGTTTTGGGTTGGGCTGGGTATTTTGGGCCATTTGGGGTGGTTTGAGGGTTGGGGGTGGGAGGGGGGTTACTTAGGAAGAGGAAAACAAAAAAAAAAATTATAATGGGCCCGGCCCGGCCCGGCGCGGCCCGGACCGGACCCGGTGGTTACCCGGTCCGGTCCGGGTCCACCATTTCTGACCCGCCGGCCCGCCCAGGCCTAGGCCCGACCCGGACCCGGCCCGGACCCGAGTCCAACCCTAAGTAAAAGCTTGTTCAGAAAGTAACCCCAGGCAAGATTGAAAGGCTCCTTTTGTTTTAAAAAGTATTTTTCTTGAAAGATTTTTCAAATAAAAGTATTACAATTTCATTAAATTATTCTCACTTACCATTTTGGGATGTCTAAAAAAAATTCTTTATATTTCACTTTTTTGGAAATTTTGTGTGCCTAACATTCATTTACTTTTTCTTACTTAACTATAATTATACATTATTTTATTCCTAATATGTTAAACTTTGATCCAAGTCAAATCGGGAAGAATTTTATGGCATAAAGGGAGTATGTTTGTCATTCAAGTACATACCCCATTTTTTAAAATCCGGTTTAAGACATAAATTAGTACCTGATCCTGAATTGGAAATCATTGAAATAATGAAAATAAATAGCATCCTTTACACTTTGCTAAAGTTGAATAAAATTTCCTTGATGAGTTTGCTTTTATTTTAATTTTGGTTTTGTGCAATAAACATTACGTAGTACTCCTGACTAGCTTTGGAATATAATAACTAGCTTTTGAAAATGTTTGGCACAAGTAAGTGTGACCTTTTTAATATTTGTTAAAAAGTATTTATTAGTTATTTGATAAAAGTGAGTATTTGATTTAGTTATTTTGATGGTTAAAAAATATAGAGATTTGCTGAGAAATGATGTAGAGCAGCGTTGTTGATATTAATTGTACAATGGTGACCTGCAATTGGGAGGGCAGAGAGTGAAAAGCAAGCCTATTTCCAAATCCAAGAAAATGAACAACTCCGTTGCGTTGGAGCAGTGGCAGTACGGTCTTCAAGTACTCATCTGCTGCTGCTTCCTTGGATATATCTGCATCAGTTATCTGAAACCAAAAAAATTTATTCTAGAGAAAGAAAACATGCAGGTGCAATTTTTTTTGTTTTTTTTTATTGAGAAAGATTTTAAAGCTTGCTAGCTAGCTAGCTTCAAACAAATTCTTCAATTTTCTCAGGGCAAAACAATTCATTTTCCTTTGCGGGTGTGAAGGATTGATACTTACTACACTTTTGGCTGTTTCCAAATCAAGTAGTTTGAGGTGAAGAGGGAGATGTTTTATGATATTTATGTCGTGTTTGAGTGTTTGCACGAAATGCTCCTCTTGATATATGTCCTCAAACTGGCTGCCAAAACGTTTTTGTAATTCAAATTGAGTAAACAACAAGTAGCTAGCTTAGTAGCAGCAGCTAGGACCTTGCATGCATGCATGCATACATAATACAGTATATGAGCTAGCTAGTGTGATTCAATTCGATCGCAAAACCAATCCACTCTAGGGCTCTAGGCTCTAGCTCCAGTTGAATAAATGATAAAAATTACGTACAAATATTTATCCACTTTAGCTCGAGTTCGAACGTCGTTTTGTTAATATATACTATCCTCCGTATCATAATAGTTGCAACATTCGAATTTACACATTATTCATGTACTCTACTTTGAGTACATTTTATTTATTAATGTATGTGAATTATTTTTTTTGAAAAATATTGTTGAATTCGTCTCATTACGAAGTTTCATAATCTGATTTTTAAAAGTTTTTTACTAATATAGAATTAAATATAATGATGGTCAAAGTTGTGCATTGGCAAGCGTGAAAAAAGGAATGTTGCAACTAAAAAAGAATGGAGGGAGTATTATACTCCCTCCGGTCCTAAATAAACTTCACACTTTCCTTTTTGGGTAGGTCAAAAATAAACTTCACACGTCTTTTCTCTTTCTTATTTGGCAAATTATCAACATCAAAACAATGCAAAACTGTGCAAAACAGTGTCACAACAGTGTACTCTACAGTAAAGTCAAATTTATTTTCTTAATTTGTGTGAAGTTAAAGTGTGATATTTATTTAGGACCGAAGGGAGTATTATATAGATAGTATATAGTTTTCAAACAAAAAATAATATGAGTAGGAATTGATCGAACCTGCTGTCTTTCCAAACATTGCTGTAAAGAAATTTGGGTATGACCAATGTGGCGTTAAGTAAAGATGCTACCGCCACAGCGTTGCACACCTGCCAATGCCAAACCAAAACACAACCATTACAGGCCAGCATTACTTATTCTTATTTTCATTAATAAATCACTTCACAACAGCTACCTATAGTGAAATTTATTACGGAGTGTATGTATGTATGTATGTATATATATATATGTATATATATATATATATGTATAGATATATATATATGTGTATATATATATGTGTGTATATATATATATGTATATATATATATGTATATATATATATATATGTGTGTGTGTGTGTGTGTGTGTGTGTATATATATATATATATATATATATATATATATATATATATATATATATATATATATATATATATATATATATTAAAGATCAAATGAGAACAAGGCTTAACGTGAGAACACCACATTTACCCCGATATGATGCACAATGAGGCTAACCTAATGCACTTTTTCACGTTCAACATAATATTCATATTATTTACCAAAATGCCACCATTATTATTTATATTGGCTTGTTTGGAGCAAAGTCAAAATGTGCATCAAACGGGTTCTATTGTGTATCACATTGGGTTAAATGTGAATGTTCTCATGTTCTCACGTTAATCATCATCATCATCATTATTATCACTATTATCACTATTACCACTATTACTACTATTACTACTACTATTATTACTACTACTATTATTATTACTATTACTATTATTACTATTGCTATTATTACTATTATTATTATTATTATTATTATGATTACTACTACTACATAATTCAACACACAAAATAAAAAATTACGTGTTTGATGAAAAAGTTAGTGTTTTGAATGTGTTAGTTTGTTAAACACATGTAAAAGTTATCCCTTTTTAAAAGTGAGCATCAATTTAATCATGTTTAAAGAAAAACCCCTATACACACACACAAACACACACGTGCATAATTGTATATTTGTATTACCGCAACTCTTTGTTGATTTAAGCCTCCATTTGCGCTGACCAATATGTAACCGGTTTTGTTGTGTTTCAGCGGTCCGAGATCTTGGAACGTTGTTACACCACAATTCCATCAAATATATTTCATTCTTTATTAGTATTATTTTATAAAAAAGGCAAGGTTTCTTCAAATTTACAATTTGAAGAATTGAACACTACTTTTCAAAAAATTAATTTCTAATACATTTTGTTTTGGAAGATTAATTTCTAATACATTAATAAATAAATTGTAATCAAATTTGAGAATATGTATTATCAAATAACAAGAATATCAATGATGTGGAAAATGAGAATGATTTTTATGTATTGGATTTGAGATGTGATGATTCCAAAAGTGCGGTGAAATTTTTATATATGAACGTTTTTGTCACTGCGATAAAAAATAAAATATCTGCACCTGCATGTGGGGTGTATCAAAGTAAAAGGAAACATATATTTTGCACTTTTCACGTTAAATACTATTTTTACTGGAATCACACCCGAGTGTTTCCGATTAGAACACCTCTTAGTGTGATAATTAAATAAGAACAAATTATAACCACTCAAATTTTGATAAATTTTAATTAATCATCAGATGAACGATGCCAAGGCCACACCTACGTTGGTAAGGATAAGCATAGGAGATGATTTCCGTCTTTAAGAAGTTCAATCTAGGGTGGTTATTGAATGGTAATTGTGAAAATGAATATAATGTTCATTGTGGATAATTTGTTATGTCTCACGCGTCCTCAAAATATAGAAGTTTAAGAAACGACTAATAGTACTTAATTACTAAAAATAACTCAACTAAAAAATAAAAAATGATACATGTCATATAGAACCGCAAACTATACCATGCAACCGGCGCACCATGAGGATGGTGCGCCCGGTTGCAAAACGACGCAGCTCGCCCCCTCCCTTTTTTTTTGCTTTTGTTGTTAAAAAATGATAATAACTTTTTTATTTTTGATCCGATTTTTATAAAATTTATATCAACATTTTTTATTTTTCATGATTTTTCAAATGAGACCAATATTGCTTATGTAATTTTAAGAAATTATCGAACTATTATATTAATGAGTATTGGATTATAAGGAAAATCGAATCTGTTTGGGAGATGATAGGTTTGTGAAATAGAAGATCGAATCTGTTTGGGAGTGGATCAGTGGCCTCAGTTACATTTGATAATACATTGAGTTACATCTTTTTATGAGTGAGTTACATCTTTTTATAAGCAAGTTACATCTTTTTATAAACAAGTTACATCTTTTTATAAGCAAGTTACATCTTTTTAAAAGCGAGTTACATATATATAAACACGAGTTGCATTTGACATGCATGAACGCGACTTACATATATTTACACGTAAAGTTACATATTTTTACACGTTAAGTTACATATTTATACACACGAGTTACATATTTATACACACGAGTTGCATTTGACCTATCTGAACGCAAGTTACATATTTTTTTACGTAAAGTTACATATTGTTACACGTAGAGATACATATTTATACACACGAGTTGCATTTGACTTGACTGAACGTGAGTTACATATTTTAACACTTAAAGTTACATATTTTACACACAAATGTTAATATGTTAAAATTACATAGGCAATATTGGTCTCATTTGAAAGATCATGAAAAATAAAAAATGTTGATATAAATATTATAAAAATCGGATCAAAAATAAAAAAGTTATAACCATTTTTTAAAAACAAAAGGAAAAAAAAAATATAAAACCGTCCCGATATACGTCCCAATATAAAACCGCACGGGTAGCTCAGTTGGTCGAGTGGTGGGAGATTTGGAACAATGAATCAATGTTCGAATCCCCGCAGCGACCGGGTGGAGGTCACAGAACCTGAAATAAGGCTGGGCCTCTGGTGCGCACGGGTGTATGGGCCTACTGCCATTCTACTGACTGAGTCACCGTGACTAACCCCCCACCATCCTGTCGAGTCGGGGTCGGGGGGCTCCTGGGGTGGGAGATTCCATCTTTTGGAACAATGTGTCTCACTTTAACTAAGCACAATTATTAAGAAAGTGATTGAAAAAGTAAAAGTTGTGGTTGCGATTTGAGTATATATTAAAGTGAAATGTTGAGGTCACATATTTCTTTCCAAAACAGGAAATGAGTCAGTTATTTTGGGACAAACCAAAAATGAAAGTAGGACATATTAAATGAGACGGAGGGAGTATATAACACACCAAAAATACATAAAAGGTACCTGTGGTTAGGCCCGTTTTCATATAGGAGGGCATATGTTTCATTTTTTAACAAAGTGAGACATGTGTTTCAATTTCGTTATCACAGCGGGGGCATGACGCCTAACGCGTCAGAAAAATTGACTTTGATTTTCAAAAGTCTCCGAAAAATTAAAAGAAAAATACTGGAGGTCAATAAGTATCATTCTCTTTGGATTTTTCGACCCTATTTGGATTATTTTGTAAAAACTAATTCGCTAATATATATCACTTTTTCGGTGGACTTTCTGGCGACAGGGTGGCTGGAAATTAAAAAAAAGGAAAGATGGTCTGGAGGTCTTCTTGATGAGGCACACCTCCTAGTATTTTCCTTATAAATTTTTCGGGGACTTAGTTAATTTTTCTAAAGGCGTTAGACGCCATGCTCCAGCTGTGATAACGGAATTGAAACAAATGTCCCACTTTGTTAAAAAATGAAACACACGCCCCTATCTGAAAACGGCCCAAACCACGTATACCTTTTCTTTGTATATATCTCAAGAACTAGTGGCTATCACAACATCAAACCCACAACCATCAAGATTAGATGGACATGATGAGGCATCATACATATACCACTTATATAATGCAGAAGAAGCAATATGTAGTACCCAAAAACATATGGAAATCACAATTTGATGCACATCTATGTAAATACACAAGACCTAATATTTAAACACAATAAATGAATATGTATTGACGAATATAATGATAATGTGGTGAATAATATGGAGTATAAATTACTAAGAGATAGTTTTATGATAACACTCTTTCCAAAAATAATACATTCTTATGAATTAAAGCAAAATTGCATGAGCAACCGTTACTATATAAGCTAAAATCAATATTGTCTAAAATTAATTATACACGGCATGACAAGCAGTTATCAAAATACTAATAAAAATGGGTGATGATTACTAAAATATCCCATATATAGTAAAGATGTTTTTATTTGGACTGTTTTCAGTTTCAGATCAGACGAGACTAAATTTAAATAGACCAGACTTAAATAGACAAGACCAGACCAGACTTCCGTAGTTATAAAATACACATAGACCAGATATTTTCCATACCAAACCAGACTTAAATCGATCAGACCAGATCAGTAAATTACAGTTCAAGTAAAAATATCCTAAATGTACAATTTAATCTTACGAATTTTACATATGTAAGACTAGGGTTGATTCTTATTTGTTAAAAAAAGTATTGTTCTTGTTTGATCCTAATAAGGTGCGTATCACAAAAATGGTTTTAATGTCTATAATGCAAAATATTCACTTTTGCAGGGATGCACAACACTTTTATGTTCAGGAGCTGCACCTTTTCAAATTTGTAAAAGTAACACTTCAAAAGAAAAATATATGATGACAATTTTTAGAATAAACAAACTGTTTTACAAATGTGAAAAAGTGCTCCTGAACATTAAAGTGTACGGTAACGCTGTAAAAGTGAACATTTCACATGTTAAAATTCTTTTTATTTTCTTTCAAAAAGAAACTCTTTTTGTTTGATCCGTCCCTCTTCTCTCTGTGTGTGTCAGTGTGTGTGCGCATAGAGAGAGTGATATTTCTGTATGTTCTTTATCAAGTCTACTTTATTCACCCCAAATTTTAGCTAAAAAATTAAATGGGAAGACAGTAAAATGAGTTTTGGAAGATAACTACGCCAAAATATACATATAAAACGTAGTTATCTTCCAAAAATCATTTGACTGCCTTCCCGTTTGAATTTTGAGCTAAATTTGGTGTGGATAAACTAGTCTTGATGAGGAACATACACAAACAATTTCAGGAAAAATATACCACCGGAAACCGCCCCAAACAGAGGAGGCCGGACGAGACTCCTGTCCGGGCCGGTCGGACAGGAATAATCCTGTATATGGAAAAACTATCAATTTGGTCCTTGTACTATCATTAAAACGTCAATTAAGTTTTTGTAGTTTTTAAAAAATCAATTCAATCCCCAAACTTTGAAAAGCGTTCAATTAGGTCAATTAACAGGTTACCCGCCACGTCAGCAAATCACATACTGACGTGGCACACATGTGGCAATCCAGTCAATAGTGACTTTATTGACATGGCGCACACGTGGAAGCCCATCGAGCCATTTCTTGATGACATGGTGCACATGGACCGCCACGTGTGTGTCACCTCCGCATGTGACTTGCTGACGTGACAGGTAACATGCTAATTGGTTCAATTGAACGTTTTGTCAAAGTTCAAGGATTTGATTGATTTATTTTAAAGCTGTATGATGGCTTAATGGACATTTTTGTGGTAGTACGAGAATCAAATTGACATTTTTTCTATAGGACTATCCAATCAAATTCATTTTTATATCAATGAAAATATAACTCTAAGGACTTCAGCTTTGATGAAAGAAACCATATTTCAAAATTTAAAGGATGCAACTAGCATGATGTAACCTTTTCGATCAAAGTATGTCTTATAGATCTATTCAATTAATGTCACATGTTGGAGAAATTTGATCATATTTGAGTATAACTGTATAAGACTATAAAGTAGTTAAATAAGATACAATGTTAATGGCATCCAGGGCCGGCTTGACACATTACGAGACCCGGTGCGAATCACACAAATGAGACCTTTTATTAAATAAAATACATAGATCTAATGTGTAGACGTATAGTTTGCTTTTATTTGGAGTTGGGTCGTTCGGTGTATAAAGGTGTTTCAAAAATGCAAATGAGTTTCTATTAATAATTTAAACATTTACTTTATAGAGTACTCTTCCAGTCAAGAATTCCTGACCGGAACCGCCGTCCGGACAGCGGCGTTTGGGGCCCTTCCAGGTGAAATGTTTTGATGAAATATTTATGACATGTTCTTCATCAAGTCTAGTTTATCCACAAAAAAGTTCAGCTAAAAATTCAATCGGGAAGGCCGTCATATGATTTTTGAAAGATAACTGCGCCGGAATATACATATAAAACGCAGTTAACTTCCAAAAATTATTTGACGACCTTCCCGATTGAACATTTATCTGAATTTTTTCTTGGATAAACTAGATTTGATGAAAAACATGTCATAAAATTTCATCAAAATAGTCAACAGGGAAGACGCTGAAACGCCACCGTCCGGACAGTGGTTCTGGTCGAAGTTCTGGCTGGACCTGAATATTTCTCTACTTTATATACATATTATTTAAATTTTTAAAAAATGGGCCTTCTATTTTTGGAGGCCCTGTGCAGTAGCCCAGCTTGCACAGCCTCATCTACGGCCCTAATGGCATCTAACTTTTCTTATATATAAGTTGGAATCCCAATTCAAAACTTTCTTAGATTATTCGTGTAGAATTCACGTATAATACACTCAAACGTATAATTCACGTATAATGCATCTGTTTATGGATTTTTCAGAAAATTATGAAAAATTCACATACTTTAAAGATAATACTTATTCCCGAAATTGGCAAAAACTCAATGTGTAATACACGTATCATACTTATTGATATGTATTTTATTCATAAAAACACAACATTAAACTGAAGGCTAGTAGAGTGGTACGACTGAAAGCAAATGTCTACCTACTCAATACTATTTTTATTATTAAAAAGTTATTAGGCCTTATACGTTCATTAATTGTTTAATAATCAATAATATATTTAATATATTAGTTTCTTAAAGTTTTTATGTAATATCCAAACAGATAACATGATCATAACTTTGTATATAAACTCTGTATAATTAAAAAAATATTAGGCCTTATACTATTGTACAATAAGCAATGAAAATGAGATTGCCTATTTGACTAAAAGTAGATAGGTATTACTACCTCCGTCCCGATGAGTTCTTCCTAAATTGACCTGCCTCGCAAATTTAGATAGTGAGAATAAAGTGAAAATGTATGGTTGTGGTTGTGTAAGAAAAAGGTGAATGAATGTGACCGATATTTTTTCCAAAAGTGGAAGTTGGAAGAATTAATTGGGACGGTCCAAAAAGAAAAGTTGGAAGAAATGACCGGGATGGAGGGAGTACGAGAGAACCATTCATATTATTAGACCTCGAAGTTTATATACAAAGTTAGGCTGGCAACATGATCATATATCTTTTCTTTTACAAAAGTAAATTTATGATGTTAAATAAATAATTTAAATACATTTATCATTTATGATCGTGATGGTAGGATAACTTTTTATATAAAGTTCAGAATATAAATTGTACAAATACAAGTTTGTGTTATTTATTTCATACTCATTCAAAGTTTAGGGTATTTAAATTATGAGGTTATTAAATAAGAGGTAGGGGTGAAACCGATGTTCTTTTAAGTTTGAGTATAAAGTTATAATGCTTTCGTTTTTTCAACGCAATCCTTCTTTCTAAAAGCTTCTATAATAGTAAGTCTAGTCCAAACACATATGACTGTATATGTGCATATGCTCCTTCTACCCTTATTTATATTACAGTAATATATATACCTTTTGTGCTTTGTACGTATGCGCAAGGTTTCCATTTGGAGGCTTCATGAGAGTATGGTTCTTCCCATATTTGATTCATCCCATCTTGCTTAAAGTCTTTCTACTCTTGCAATAGCATAACAGAATGCATAAGAATATGATATATATTTCACAAAATGAGAGTAAATAAAATGTGAAATCATATTTTAAGATAAGTGTATTATATTTCCCCCCTTATATAATACTCCTTAGTAAATTAGTCATTCTGAATTCACTGTCATATTTTGACATAGCAGACATCAATACGGAGTATGATTATATTAATACCAAATTGGCATTACTTTGCAAGCATTCCATCCAATATTATTCTTATTTTGGAATTTGACATCGTTTTCAATCATATTTTGACAAATATAATACTCCTTTATAATAAGACGCTACACATTCTAATTTATGATTTTACATGTTTCTAAATATCAAAACACACGACTGAGAAAAATGTCAAATTGACCTTCTCACTTTGTACGAAAAGTCAATTACCCCATACTTTAACTTTGATCAATTACGCCCTCCTACTATGAATTTTTTTGTCAAAAATGATTTTTAGCATGTAACCCGGCGGTAAGCAGGTTATCTGCTGACGTGGCACACGCGTGAACTGAAACGATGCACATGTGGCAACCCACGTCACCTTCCCCCCAGTGGCGGAACCAGCTCGGGGATCTTGGAGGGGCACATAATGGAAAAAGGAAGGTCTCCGGCAAAACGGATGGCTTGTTGTGGCCCCAAAATTCTAAAAAGCTAGGGAAAAGGGCCAAATAAACCTTCTACTATTTCTAATGGATCACTTAAGTCCATGTACTAAAAAAAGTTTTATATAAGCATGCTTACTTTAAAAAACTTATCAATCTAGTCATTTAATCAATTTTTCACCCGTAATAGCAGGTGTTTATACTCTCGTATTAAAAAAACTCAAAAAATTGTTAATTTTTTTAAAGTAACCATATTTACATGATACTTCTTTTAATAGAAGGATTTCAATAATAAATTGATAATATTAAAATAATTTATTTGACTATTTTCCCAAAAATTAATAATTTTGAAATGTAAATTGAGAAATCCCAATTTTATATTTACATACAATATGAGATGAGACTTTTTATGAAACTTAAAAGGAAGATTTGACGAGTAAGCTATTCTTATAAAGTTATGATGCACTAATGCCTATGTAAGTACTCAAGAACTTTATTAATCTGAATTGGTGCATCACCATAAGAGTTAATGGTGATGATGATCATCATCACGTACAACCGAAATGGCTCAAGTGCTCAACCCCATCCTGCGGCCATCCCACCTGCTGAAAGCTTCCGCCATTAACCCCATGAGCCCCAGAATAAATATAATTATATATAGATACAAGTATATATATAATAAAAATATGAAACCACTGCAGGGGCACAAGCCCCTCCAAGCCCTTGAATAGTTCCGCCACTGCTTCCCCCCCTTTTCTTTTGTTTTCCTTTTCCTTTCCGTCTCTTTTTCTTTTTAACAAATACATAAATCATGTGAAAAAAATCACAAACTAATTAAGTTTTAATCGACAAGCAGTTAATTTTGTAATTATAATATTATACTGTTATACATGAATTTTAGTTTTTAGTATATCATTTCATTTTGCTACAATATATTTATATTTTATAGAGAGATTTCCATTTTTTATCTCGTAACTTTCGACTATGACTGTTAATAGTCGTGCAACTTCGTTATCTTGCAATTTTAGTCTTGTAACTAATACCACGTACATACATAATATTTCTCTTCATTTTAGAACTTGTCCACTAAAAAGTACAAAAAAGTACACGTTACAATTGAAAATCTAACGTCCGCGGCATATTTTCTAGTACTTTTGTAGACCCTATTTTATATTTTTATACTTGTAATATAAGTGTGGCTCCACCCCAGCGCAGATTCCTCCATGGGCCATGGCAGTATGGCATGAATTCTTCCGCATAGTTTCATCAATGGCTTGATTTCATCCGAGGAGCCACCTCTCATCCTCCTTTAAGAATCAATTTGCAGCTCGAATTCAGGCGGCGGTTTATGCTAAAAATAAACTAATCTAAGATTGAAATGAGAATCAAACAAATATGAATCGATAATGGACTAATTATGAATGAAAGAAAATATAAAATATGAATTAAAAATATTGAAATACTTCGAATAGCTTTTTGAGTTCTAGTAGAGAATGTATATGGCTAGTTTTGTTCGTAATGAACATCTGTTGCTTCTTAGAATTGATATTCTTTTTAATGAGACCTATTCTACTCCTTCCTCAAGTCTCTCACGTGTTCCTTCTTTTTTTCCATGACCAACTAACCAATGTTTATCCACTCCTTCTCCCTTGACTTAATCAATGGGCCACATTTCTGTTCTTCCACTTTAGCTGGGCCTCGCCTTTCACTTGGCTGTACAAACGAGCTTTCTTCTTACATTTGCTGGACCCCTCCCAAAGTATGAGCCCATGTCTTTGAATAAATTTTGGGATCCAACATTTGCCCCCTTTTGAGAAGTTGAGGCATATGGATGCACCTACAAACCCGTTAAGCATCAACTTTTCAAAATCTTGGAAACATCTATACCTGTCATCCTTGAATATTGTCCATAGAAACTCATCATCCATATGATGAAACATGCTTTCAACCTGTCATTCGTATAACAAGACGCTTTTGTCAACTTGTCACTTTTCTGACGACATGTTTCCTTCAACCCGTCACTTGTCTGATGAGAAGACTTCGTTAATTTCCATGCAAACAGTCTCTGATCTAATCCATCTCTTTGACTATAGCGACGAAGAACGAAAGCTTATCTCTTATCATCGTCCTCCGAATTTGTGCTAATGGTCATAACTAGGCAATGTTGACGCGTTGAAACTTCGTCCAGGTCGACGTCGACATTTCTGGGGATGTCGACATGTCTGGGATGTCGACATGTCCATTGCTAGAGATGGCGAGCCGGGTTGCATGAACGTAATCAAAATCTTGCAAAAACTTTAAATTCTGTTTCATTTATGGTTTGAGTAATATCATCGACATGAATATTTATGGTTTATGTCAATGTCGTTTTGGAGCGTATGTTGTCATGCTCTTGGAGCACATGCTTCTGTTGTGTATTTCTGTAGTTTTGGCCAAAACATTGCGGAGTATCGGTGGTGTTTATACTCATGTTTAACGTACATGAAAACCTCACTTCTTCCCCTAAAATTCTGTAAGCCCCCTATCAATTGTGTTTTGACGTGTTGTAAGGCTTTGTCTGATGTAAGCCCCCTCAATTGTGTTTTGACGCGTTGTAAGGCTTTGTATGACGTAAGTTAGGATATCATCTCATCCATTGTCAATTGTTGATTGTTCCCGTGTAAAAAAGAATTTGCCAACGTCGACCGTCGGCTAGAAGCCAACGACCCTCCGATGCTTAAGTTAGTGGTTGTTTATAGATAAACGAAAGTAATAAATTAAAAGTATGTATAAAATACTAGACAAATACTTATCATCACAGGAGTGATAACAATATGTAAAAGAAAATATTAAACTAAAAATGAAACAATTTTAAGGGTATCGTAATGCAGCTTTTTAGAACCCATCTAGCATCGAACAATATGCCCCCTGTCCAACGACTTCAATCATGTCGTTCAAACTATCTTGTCACACAAGTGACGACTTGTTCCTCAGGCCTCATATACGACTTTCCATGTTTGTAATCATGCCTCCTGGGAGACTCTGATTTCCCATGCCCCCCTTCTTGCTCAATCTGTCTTCGACGGGATCGCATGTCTTCTTCTAGACGGATGAAAGCCAACGTCTTTGCTTGGACATATTTGAAGGACCGACAAGGGTATTTCGTCAGTTTGTGGTACAACTCTGAATCTTCATACAAACCTCTTCTGAATGCCTCAATGATGGTAGAGACGTCACATTTCGCGATCGACACCTTCCCTTTGTTGAAGCGGTAGAGGTAGTCTCTTAATGACTCGTTCCGCTTTTGGACTACTCGGTAGAGATCGCTGGTTTGCTTCTCTAGAACCCGACTGCTCGCAAATTGCTGATTGAACAGATCGACTAACTTTGCGAACGAGTTGATGCCTTCATTTGGTAGGTTGACGAACCATGTCAACGCTGGCCCTGTCAATGTCGTCCCAAATGCCCTCCACATACAAGCCTCTCGCTGTTCTTGTCTGACCGAGACGGCAAGCATCTGCTGCTTGTATTAAGCGATATGTTCAAGGGGGTCGGTAGTTCCATCAAATAATCTCATCGAGGGGGCAACAAACTTTCTTGGAATCTCGATGTCTGTGATGTGTCGTCCGAAAGGGGAATCTGCGTAGCAAGTCTGTGAAGCGACGTCCAATGGTGGTGGAACCCCGGGAATGCCAGTTATCTTCTCTCGCATTTGCCTTAGCTTTTCCATGATGACGGCTAAGGGGTCTGTTGGATATGCTTACATCTGTCTTGTAGTCGAGGTTGGTGGCGTCATTGCGTGGGTTGCCTGCTGCCTGGTTGGCGATGGTATCATGATGACTTCGGGCTCTTGTTGTCTCTGGTTGTTGATGTCGACATGTGAAGGGATGTCAACATATCTAGGAATGTCGACATGTCGAGGGATGTCGACACGGTCTGGAACTCGTCGCCTCTGAGGTTCCGGAAATAGACTATGAAACATGTTCCTTCTGGAATTCTGGAGAGGAACGGATCGGTTTGAAGGCCTCCGATCTCCAGATGCACCGGCTCCTGAATGAGGGATAAAAGGCTCCGTAGGGGCCGAAGTGACTAGGGGTGTTCACCGGTCCAAAACCGGACCGGACCGGAACCGATTAGGATCGGAACCGGAATCTTAAATTTATGAGAACCGAAGACCGGACCTATTACTAACCCGTCTAGACCGACCCGGACCGGAATTTTCCGGTCCGGTCCGGTTTTGACCCTAATTAACCCGGTTTGTTAAACAAAAAAATAATAACACAGATTTTTATTTCGAAAAATAATGTGATGAGCAAATATGCGTAGTAAATATTTAATAATTTAATTCATATATCAATATTAGCATATAAATGTTTATTACTTCCCTAGT